GACCAAGTTGATTTGAGGTACCTGTAAACTAATGATGGAGCTAAACTGCTAATTCCAAAGTAGTGTGGCCAGTGGGGTGATTGGGGATAAGCGCAGTGTGCCGTGGGCACTCTGGAGAGGCAGGAGAGGTGCCTGCCAATGCGAACCCTAAAGAATGTGTTGGAGGTGATAGGTTGGGGAATTGTAGAATAGTGTGAGGAAGCACATGCTAGGAGAAGGGACTGCAGCATGTCCTGAGAGCAGCAAGGACCATTTGAGGAACTTCCTGAATATGTTTGTATAGGGTGAGGAGAGGAGGTGAGCAAGGTTAGTGGGTCAGGGTAGGCATAGTTTTTCACAGTTATTAAGGAGTTCAGACTTGAGCCTTTTTGCCAGAAGTGTAAGGTTATCTGACTTGGGTTTTTAAGATCTCACCCTGACTGTTGGATGGAAAATGAACTAGAAAGGGATAGGATGCTATTTAGGAAGCAGCTGCAGTAACCCAAGTGAGAGGTGATGGTGACCTGAATTGATGATGGTCATGCGGATGGAGAGAAGTAAGCACTGAAGAGTCATTAAAAGAGTGGAATCGTCGAGAATTAGCATGGTGGGATTGTTACCCGGGGTCCCACCAGACCAGGCTTGACCAGTCACCCATCCCATAATGCCAGTCAAACAGATGAGCAGTGGTGAGGGGTAGGAAAGGAGCTTCAGTCAGTATGGCCATGGTGGGAAAAGCAGGGGTTCAAGGTCTGTCTAAAGCTTTGGGGTTTTATAGAAAAGGAGAACAAAAGGGTTGGGGGTTTGCATGGCCAGGGAGTCCACATAGCTGGCATTGTGGGTTATACTAGCTAACCCATTCCCACCCCGAGAATATGGTTCCAGTTTAGGGGAGCAGTCTCAGGTCTCATCACAGGGTAATTGTTTCTGCTGGTTGGGTGACCTCATCACAAGATGCTCTGTGAGGCTCTGCTTTTCTTGGAATCTCAAGGGGCTGCAGGTTTACTGTCATGACTGGGGACTTCTAGACATTGGGCTCTGGAACTGGACATTGTTAAAGCTGGCACTTGGCTGCCCCTGCAAATCCTGAAAATTAGTTTCTCCTATCTTGGTGTCCTCAGGCCAATGAACCTTGTAATTCACAGTCTTTAAATCAGGGGTGGAGAACCTATGGCGAACATGTCGCAGTGGGCGAGCACAACCTTCTATGTTGGCACATGAGCCAAGTTTTTTTCTAAAGTAAAATCTCAGTGTTCAAGTTTAATTACAGTTTTGGCACTTTGCAATAAATAAGTGGATTTTGAATTGTAGTTTGGGTAGTTGGTTTTGAAAAGGTTCACCTTAAGTAATTAGCATGCTTGTATGCAGAGCTGAACAGGGATATGACCTAAAGTTTTAAGGTCAACAGGAGAAATATAAAATGATGGCAGACATGCCAACCTTAATCCTGCTTAGCAACCCATTGGGCATCTGCAAGTCTAGCCTCCAGTCCCTGTTACAAGATGAAAATACAGACAAAAGACTCTCAGCCCTTGGGGGTGTTCACTTTTAACAAAAATATTGTAAGTAATGCATATGGCATTATTATTCATGCATGTTTATGTGCCTTTCCTATTATTTCTTTGGGATAAACCCTGAAGGTGGAATTGCTGAGTCAAAGGAAATACATTTTGAAATCTTTTAATAATGTAGCCAAATTGTCTGCAGAAAGACTATCAATTTACTTGCCTACTAGCAATTAGGACAATGCTTCACATTTTAAAAAATTTAATATGCTTTTCTGTGTGCATTAGTTTGGTTGGAATATTTTCATGTTTATTGACTGTGAATTGTGGATTTCTGCTTGTTTTTCTTTTGATCTGCTTGTCGTTTTTATTTCTGAGAGCTATATGAATACTTACTTGGTTCATTCTTTGACATTTTTGTTGCAACATTTCTTGGCCTGGTTATTTGTGCTTTTGTTTGTTAATCAAAACGATTTTTTAATGTAATAAAATTTTTTGCTAGTGCCTCCTGCCTATAGTCCAAAAGTCCCTTTTCGGCCATGTTGCATACATGTTGGGATTTATATAAATATTCACATTTATTTTCATTTTCTACCTTTAAATCTTTAATTCATCAGTTTTGTGATATGATGTGTGTTGGAGGAATGTACTTCTAACTGTCAGTAGTTTAAAAAGTAATAACTATTTCTGAGCCTCAAATCAGGGCATCTTAATCTAACAAAGAAATTTTTATGCAATATATATGGGAAAGGCAGTCTCTGAGTTAGATTTCTGAGGCCTACTATGTTGTATGTGGTCAAAAAAATAGAATGTTTGAAATATGGGATGTTTGAGAAAGTCCAGGTCATAAATATTGCCAATGGTTTATGTGGTTGCAACCTGTATTTCATTTAAAGTTCAAAGTTATCCTTCTTGTTTGAAACATAAATTAACTTTGAAATGACTTTTCAGGTTTATGATGGCTCTGAATTTTGTATGTTCAAAGGTTCTTTTCTGTGCAGAAGGTCCAAGACAACTTTCTCTTGACTAGGTGGAGGCAATCAGAGCACGACCAAAGGTTGCAGAATCTTGACCCATATTATGAAAGCGAAGCCTCAAAATTACTTAAACAGTCTTAGAAAATAAAATGCCACAGTCCCCCATGTTTATCATTTTGACAGTAAGAAAAACATTTCCTCAACTTTTAGATATAGTTTAGAAACCTAATGGTAGTCTTTTTTTTTTTTTTTTTTTTTAATTTTAGAGCTTGCTTGGTTTTTCCCGAGAGAAGGCATTGTCCCATTTTGCCTGTTTTTAAGGAATTTAGGTTGGTGTCCAATGATAGGACCTTTCGTGTGAGCTTGTCTCGGAGGGGCTGCTTTGTGTGTACTGTTGGCTCTTCTGTTTTTAAAGTCTTATTTTTACTAGTACATATTTACAGTTCATAATGGTTACATTCAGGAAGGTGGTTGGTACATGTACATAACACATTTTAATTTATTTTTTATCACTTCTTCGTCTCCATGTATCCTTTTATCTACTTTTTATTTTGCTGTTTAATTTCTTTATACTTTGGATTTCTCACAAGGTGATACTGTCGTGAGTGAAGCCTTGGTTCCCAGTGCAGGCAGGCTGTTTGCAAGAGTGAGGTGGGGTTCTGTAGTGGGGTTCTGTGGCTTTCAGGCCACCCAGAGTGCTATGTATATCTGTTTGATAAACTCTGTGTTTGTTTGTTCTGTGTTTTTGCCAGTTTGTTTAAAAATTTTTAAAAGTGGACAGAAAGAAAAGCAAGCATGATGAGTTAAATGTTTATCATTTTGCATGAGTTTTTTGAAAGTTTAAGTGTAATTTCATTCCTGAAAGAACCAAAGAACAAAAGTTGTTTCCCTGGATAAGTGTTTTTAGGTTGTGTACTTTTTTTTTTTTTAAATAAGACTGTTGGTTAACCATGAAAATGAATATATTACTTTATAAGTAGTTTTTTTCTCAATGGGCTAACCATATTTTTTCGAAAAGTAAGGTTATATTGTCTACTCTTGGCCTACAGAAATCAGGAAGATATGGTTGTTGGAAATCATTGTCTTTTTGATGGTACAAGTTTTCTGATATTGTGCAGAAAGAAGTATATTCCAACCTTAGGTTCATTAACATTTTTGGGTAAATAATTCTTTTAGTTGGGGTCTGTCCTTTGTATTATAAGATAACAACAACCCTGGTCTCTACCTATCGCTGAGTCCCCATCCCAGCTATGACAATAAAAAATGCCCCCAGATATTGCTAAATGTCTGGGGGTGGAGGAATGGAACAGTACTGATTGAAAACCACTGGTATAATCAAAGCCGAGGAGGACTGGTCAGATCAGAATTATTTGGCTTTCATATGATCTGCCTTTGAGTCAGTTGTATTCAGGGCAAGATAGGAACTCTTTACTTAAACTTCAGTGACAATACAATTACATTTCATAGCACTCTCTGTCACTGAGTTTGTTATACTGAAAATGAAATCAGTGAACTGAAACCTGAGATTAGGTTGAGTGTCTAGGAGGAGGTGATTTTCTTTTCTTTCCTTTTTTTTTTTTTCCTGGGACCTGGAATCAAACTGAGGTCCCTGTGCTTGTGAGGCGCAGGTATAGAACCACTGAGCTAAATCCCTCCCAGCCTGGTGGTGATTTTCTAACAAGGCTAACCTTAGTTGATTCCAAGCAAAGGACAAGGATCATATGTCACTTCTATGGTGAATCAGTTATGGTTAGTACATTTAGATATTTGCTACGTTAATGACATAAATCAAGGAACAGGAAGTTTCTTTCCTAAAATATCCATTTGCCCTTCTAGAGTCTGCCGGCTAGGTGAGATTTGCTAGTTGTGGATGGTTGACCTCTTCAGATGAAACACACCCCCACCTTGCTGTGGAGAATCTGGAAAATCAGCTGAAGCCTTTAACAAAACCTTTACGGCTACATATTTTAGTGACTACAAGTTATACACTTGACTAGAAATTAGTAGTGTGTGTTTTTCTTACCTGCATTTCAATTTCCTCCTCACTGTTACTGGTCTTAAAAAATGCTTCCTTTTTGTTAACAATAATAGTTCAAATCAAATAAAACCCAAAAGAGCCATGTCAATGCTTTTTTTAAAGGACTATAAAATTATGATTAGAGCTTAGAGTTATAGTCAACTTCCAGGGATTATTTCAGTGATCACTGCTAAAAAAGAAAAGAGACATAATAGGGGAAAAAAATAATGTTGGAAAAAAATACAAGAAACTTCAGCTATTTCTTCTCAGATCAAGCCTTAATATTTCACCTGTGCTAAGAGTGGCCTGGCTTATAGAAAGGGGAATCCACAGCCTTTAAAGGAAAGCAGCCCATGTGTGTGGACACTTATGTATAAACAGTTTTTTTCCTAACACGTTTTGACTGGTCTTTTGTTTGGATACATTTCCATATGAAACTAGGAAATAGTAACCCATTATTGCATAATAGTGCAGGAGGTATTTAGATGCATCTTGATGGAAAAGACACAGGATGTCTTCTTGGAAATGCTTGGAGCAACCCTATGTTTTATGTCTTCGCATTGTAAAAATCACCTGAAGCCCATACATTCTGGTGCAAGTGTTGGAAGTACAGTGTTAAGTCTTGCTGTACATAGCTAAAGGTGAGTGGGCGATCACATACTCTTGCTTGTCATGTTCTCTTAGGGCAAGAATCTAACAGTTGTTGCGATTTGGCTGGATTCAAACTAGTAGTGGTTTGTCTTCTAGAGATGGTGATTTAGAAACAAATATAAATCTTTTTTTTTTTTTTTTTGGTACCGGGGATCAAACTCAACCTTGTGCTTGCTAGGCAGGCAGTGGCACCACTAAGCTAAATCCCTGGCCCAACAAATACAACTCTTTAGCCTGTGAATTTTTCTTTTTAAATGCTTATTTTAGGAAAGCCTGCTTTTCAGTTTGTTGGTACATAGAACTAATGAGGTCAAAGTCATGAGTTTGAGCTTTGATTTCTGCACTTAGTTTTGCCAGACTACATGACTACAGTGTTCTGCCTCAGAAGAGATGATCTTCAGGGGCCAGGTGCAGAGAGAGCATTTTTTCATTCTACAATTACTTGTATCTATCAGGTTGGGCAGATTTCTGGAATAAAGGCAATAAAGATGGATTAGGCTTTAAAGAAACACAAATTATGATAGAATTTTAGAGCCTCTGAATACACAAAAGTCTAGGGTCTCATTTTATTCACATTATGCAGAATATGGCAACATTTTCATTGAGGTGATTTTTTTTCACTGTTTTCACTCCATCTTTTTTGCCGCAAAGTAACTTATCTTAGAAAACCTCCGAAAAATATTTGATACCAGGCAGTAGAGAAGGAGAAGAAATAAATGTTACTACCATTCTGTAGGGGAGTAAGGATGCAGACAAAATACAGAAGCTTTGGTGTGTTGGTGGACCCTCAGGCCTTTAGATCTGTATGAAAAAAGATTCATTCTATAAAAATTTTGAAAATCATGTTTGAAATACTAGCAATCAAAATTCCAGATGAATCCAGCTTGGAGGAGAAAAAGATAACAAAAGGACTCATTAAGTGAGGAAGACAGGAGGTATCTGAATTACTGTGCTGTGCAAGATATCTAGACAGCGCACCCGTTCCTTCCCTTCCCGCCAACCTCCAGTCTGTTCAGCACCTCCATCCTAGTTCGAGCCCTTGTCTGGTCTCATTGTCTGTTTGCCCCTTGTCTGAGCCTTTGAATGTGTTTGCTGCTCACATCCTACACTAGTCAGCTTTTCTGTTTAGTTTCCTTATTGTTATTTTAATTGAAGAAAAGGCCAGCTCTCTCCTTGTCTCTTTTCCTGTGTCCCCACAACTGTCACACTGTATTTGCTTTTGCAAATACTAAATGTCATGCTATAAAACTTGGTCCCTTAAAAATAGATCTTAGCATGAGATATATGAGGGCTTGAATCTTGGCTGAGCTACAAAGCTGCTTGAGTGACATGAGGCAAGTTATTTAACTTCTGTAAGCCTCACATTTAAAACTGGGATCATGATAGCCTTTTGTTATAAAAATCAAATGTGATAAAACATATAATCATATATAATAAACATAGATTGAAGAGTGAATGCGTGTAGCATGAGACGAGCCCACAAGAAGGATTTCAGGAGGGGTGGCTGTACAGCTCCTCCTATGGCACTCTTGATGTTCCTACATCTGGTACTGTTTTTGATTTTGTAGGTCTGCCAGTCTTGTCACACTAATCCTTGCTCAGCTGTGTTTTGTAGGTTTGCTTATAACCCCATCCATAGCTTTCCATCCCCTCTGACCTTCTCAGCCTTTTCTTATTGCTGAGAAGAGGGGGCCCCTGTGAGTCAATCCCTGGCCTTCTGTTCTCACCACTTTGCCATCACAGTTTTAACTATCCATTCTGCTCATGGGTCTCAATTTCCCCCTGTTGTCCATTGGCATTTTTACTGGGATGTCCAGTGTCTCCTTCACTCAGTGTGTTAAAAACCTTGTCACCTCTCAATTCCATTGTTGCATTATTTTAACTTTTTTTTTTTGTCTTTCTTAACTGTAGCCACCTCATGGCTAGACTGGATTCTATAATAGGCAAATTAGATAATTCTCTGTTAAAATTCCTCTGCCAAGCACCTGGGTCCTCTATCCCTGCAGCACTGGCCATAGCACCTTTCCATGACGAGGATGCCTCTGCTGGCTTCTGACTATTCAGCACAATTTGACACCCTTCCTGTGTCACAGTGTATGTTCTGAACTATCCAATACCAGTAGATCCACTGAACATGTTGCGTCCTTTTTCCTCTGAGCTTCATGATGTTTGCTTTGCCTGTAATATCTTTCCCTCTTTAATCCACTTTGATTCCCCTCGGCACAGACTTCATCTCCAGAATGCTCTCTCTGAATCTCAGCAGGCTCAGTCACTCTCTTCTAATCTCCCACAACACCATGTCTAATTCTTAGGCTGTGACTGTGACTCATTAAAAACAAGCAAACAAATAAAACTGAACCAAATGGACTAGAAGAGAAAATTCTGTTTCACATGAATGTATATAGGGTTGCTGGGTAAACTCTTACATTTTATCCGGGTTTACAAAAAAAATTTTGAAAAACATAGATTTGGCATTCTCTACTGTAACCGTGGGCCCCAGTCTGAGGCCCCATTGTCCTACGGTCTAGTTGAGTCCTGTGTTGGAAATCTTGAGCAAGAAGCTGCCGAGGAGGGTACCTTGCTCTCTTTTGTCCAAATGTTTGTGAACAGATTCTGTAACTAGGGGAAAGCAGCTCTGTTTTATTTCTTTAGAGACCGAGCTCCTACTGTTAGATTGTCAATGCTTTCCTGCATCCAGGGTAGCAAATAAAGGAAAAAGGCTGCAGGTGAATGGTCCTAGGTCATCTCTTCCTTACATTTTCTTCTGGCAGGGCAGAAAACAACCCTGAAGAAAGAGGAACATCCTTCCTGGCCAGGGTCACTGATAATCATTCCCAGGACTGAAGCTTAGAGCTGGAGATCAAGATGTTCCTTTGTTGTGTCCACACATTTCCTATTGCCTTCCTTTGTTGTTTTGCGGGGCAGCCAGACAAGATTGTTTACTCAGGACACTTCCATTTTCTGGGTTGTTCTGTCTTTTTCAGATTTCGTATTTGTTCTCAGTACTTATATTGCTTTCACTCATATTTTTGCTGACTTCCTTCTCGCTATTCCTTTTGTATTCTCATATCTTTCCATCTCTCCCTTCGATTTTCCCAAAAGCAAAGAAGAAAATTATAAAGAAAATTTGTAAAGAAAATGTACTTCCTCTTCATTTGAGCACCTCCACTAAATAAAGAGACAAGAGTTTGTTACAGTGTTATAGACCACTCGTTTAAAAATGATAGTGGTTCGTAAGGGGTCATGCCTCACTTATCTTCATCTTTGTGGGATATAGCGTGGGATAATGAGCCCAGTAATGCCTTGCTGCCCAGCTAGATTGAATTAATAAGGATTAAGTATGATGCTACCACTACTTTTTGGTTGGATTGCCCTTAAGCATTTTTCTCTGTCCTCTCATTCATGTCCTCATCTGTCTCCTACTTTTAAACATTGTTATTGGTGCATTATTTTATATTCCTAACACTTTGACACAAGTGACAATCTTGACAAGTGGGATTTTATTACTGAATGATATTCTTGCACTTCTTGAGGTCAGATACTTCATTTGTGAAAAGTTGGTTCTCTGAGTCTCAATGGGTTATTAACTATGAGAACAGTTAAACTCTGAGCCAGCTCTGAAGCCCTACCATTGACAGAGGCCTCACGAGTTACGTGGGGTTCATGCAGCTGCCTGAAAGAAGTTACTCCAAGAAGGCTTTAGTGCCAGACAGTCTTGAGAGCCCTAAGCTGGATAGGAGTTTCAACAGAAGATGATAAAGGAAATGGCTTTAAGAAACTTACTAGATTGTCAGTAACATTATTTTTCAGATTTTACAAAGAATGCATAAGTACTATTAAAAAATACAATGATGAGGGCCAAGGATTTAGCTCAGTGGTGCCGTTACCTGCCTCACAAGCACAAGGTCCTGAGTTTGATCCCTGATACCAAAAAAAAGAAAGATGGAGAAAATAAAAAAAGACTGGGGTGAGTATGTAGCTAGGATGTATAAGGTCCTAGATTCAACTCCTAGTACCAAGAAAAAGATTTTAAAAGAAAGTATAAATTACTTTCTATACTTTTAGTGCATATTCATTTAGGCTTTTGCATTAACATATACTATACATTTTTTTTTTTTTTTTGAGACAGGGTCTCACTATGTAGTTGGGACTGACCTGGAACTCACTATGTAGCCCAGGTTGGTCTCGAACTCACAGCGATCCTCCTGCCTCAGCCTCCTGAGTGCTGGGATTACAGGTGTGCGCCACCACGCCCGGCAACCTATAATATACATTTAAAGGATGGTTCTAAAATCTTATTTTATCACCTGATTTAAAAAATGGAGTCTAGCACAGATATCTATGCATGTAATCAGTGTAGCTGTACATCAATTATTTTAATGGTTGCATGGGTTTTTATAACATTAATCTATAATTTTCTAATCAACTATATTTAGGTTGTTTCTGTTACTTTAGTAATATAAATAAAATAACTTCTACTAAAGGTCTATTCCAAGTAGCTTGGACAGATAATTAACTTATATATCTATCTATGCCTCCTTCTGTAAAAAAGTGACATTGAACTTATTGATCTCTTGGGCGTCAGATTTAAGGTTAGTTTTGATTATAAGTTGTGCCTTCAACTTCTGTCTTCTTTTAGAAACCATGCAATCAGTTAAGGGAATGACTACTGCAATCAAAATGTTTGGATTCTAATTTTCTTTATTCCACTAAACAACCTATGGGACTATGGGCAAGTTGTAATAACCTTGTTAAGCCTCAACTTCCTGATCTCTAAATGGAGGTGGTAATACTGACATTATAGTGATCCTGTAAGGATTAAATGAAGCAATCCACGTAAAATACTTAGCATGGTGCCTTATGCACAACAAGCACTCAATATGTGTTAGTTGATCTTTCTATTTCTGATGTCCTTCTCCACATATCAGAAGTCTACCTATTATTTAAAAGTAGGCTCAGATAGCTTTCCTTCTTTCCAGGTGGCCAGGAA